GTATCCCCAGGGTAGCCTTATTGCGCTGTTGCCGCTGCTGGTCTGATCTCGGTTCTTGCGCATAGGTGAGGGTGTCGCCTGGCAGGCTTACGGTCGTCTCGCCGGGAACTTTGGGGGAAAATCTCTCAACTGCCAAAACCTCTCCAAACAGTCCTTCGGGCATGGGATCGCTCGGCAGCTCACTCTGGGGTCGCAGCTGAAGTTGGGCCAGTGAATTCTCTAAATGCTCATGCGGGAAGAAGGGCCATGATAACACTGGGCAGCTACGAAAATTATATGACATACTCAGCTGCGAAGAAGGCCAGTGTGGCTTGGAGATGCATCAATGAAGGCCTCCGTAAGCATATCTGAATCTCACAGGCACAAAACAGGATGCCATAACCGATGGCAAGGGTTCGTTCCGATCCGCCAAGCTATTTGCCCTCTCCGTTCTCCCTCTCATCTCCACGCTCAGCTCTGCGACCAGCTTACTCGCCTAAATGACTCCACTGGTGCTCCTGCCTATGGTCTTTCTCAATAATTACTACAAATGTAAGGAGTCTCTGTAGAGAATAGTGACAGTGAGGTCTCCAACAGAGATAATATGTATTTTCCGATGAAGTGCATTAGTCCTACCGAGGTAAGCCTTCTGGAGTGGCGCAGTGGGGGCTAGTTAGGCTATACAAGTACAGATAAGCTTCGCGCCAATTCCATGGCCGAGATTGGTATGCGTTATGTGAGTACAGTACTTGTAGATGCCAAGGTTGGTATCCCTTCCGTACGTTCCGCATTTCCGGACGGCAGAGCTGCAACGTTGCTGGTTGAAATCCTCAGACCACACTCTATTTTTCCTTCCGCGACACTGACGAACAGCACTGCGGGCAGTAATGTTTGCCCATCGTGGTGGATATGCTGTGCTGACGGATCAAGAAGGCCTGAACCCAAGGCCAAGGTGAAGAAGAGAAAGGGCAATCCGAGTACACCAAGGACACACCTCCACCGAATAAGCAAGACTTTGACAGAGCGAGCATTGGTGGCATGACATGGATTCCACATGTCGCTGGACGCTTGCTCGGATGAAATTGCCGATCACTATTCAAAGTTTTGGCGGCCTGGAGTGGGAAAACGTTAATCGAGCAAGCGATGCGCAGAGTTTTGAATCCTGAAGGTGTACGAGAACCCGATCGCCTATCACAGCGTCCTTGCATCAATATACCGAAGAGATCCGAAATCAGAAGGGGATGCCCATGAGGTTGGTGATCGTTTAACTGTCGAACAGTCCGCCGCCACTTTCGAGACTCCCTGCGACCAATGCCTGAGCAGTGACCTTGGGCCTGGGGCGCCTTCGCAAGCATCTGGAAGAATTCCCAAATGCGACTTCCCACTCTACGAATGCACTGATAAGGTGTGTGATAGGGCAGGTCGGTAACTCCTCCAAAATTAGGACCGTGCTAGCTACGCTCAATAAGGAAGGCGTCTTGAAGATGTCCTTGTTCGCCTGACCTGTTGGAGCGTTCGCTATCAGATCTACTCGTTGCTGGTAAAGGTTTCTCGCGAGCTTCAGCGCCGAACAGCAGGTGTGTAGCACTCAGAGGTGGCATCGGTTGCTTCGTGTATTTGATCTAGTGCTGCCCAAAACCCGGGCGTCACGCGACGTCTGCCAATGGCACCTTCCTGACCAAGTTGTGGCGCCGCCCTTATCAGCAAGCGGCTCGGGGGCGGATATGGGTGGATGCTTGGTGGATGGTTGGCGGATACAAGTGGGCCTGTGGTGGATATCCAAGTGGATACCGGGTGCATGGTTAGTGGATGGTCGGTCGAGGCTTGGTGATTGCTTGTTCTATGCTTAACTCCCTCCGAAACTTAACCCGACCTCCAGGTTTCCAAGCGTGGCCCTCGTTTATTTGAAGCTCTCACACGCCGTTGAGCATCGCCTGCCTGATCCGGTAAGAAATACACATCTGCATCCCAGTCGGTAGGTATTGTATCCTTGCAAGCTCCCTCTACCTACGGGTAACGCTGGTTGGCGCGCCGTTATCTCTGAAGGAATACGCAAATCCCTTCCATGTTCAATTGGTAGCAGGTTTAGTTGCCACTGATCGGCCGTTCTCCTACCCAAGTGCGATTTACCTCCTCAGCCGGCGAATAGTTTGCTCCATTTGATTACATCCCATCATTTCGTTCGTCCGGTCAAATCTTTCTGGATCTGGAACCACGATCAGAATCGCTCCTGTGTGGCAATCCTCCCCCCAGCGTCCCCGAGACATGGCCATTCTTGTACTTGCATGTGGCAGACGCTTACAAGTATCTTGATTCCACAAAAGAGCTTGTCTTCTGTCGCCGGGGGAGAGGGGGTCCCTAGTTACATCGGCAGGACTACCGCCATCCTCACTCGATCAGCAGGTCGATAGTCGTGCCGTACATAACCAAGCCCTCAACCCTTCCGTTTCTCTTTCTCTCATCTCCTGGCATTGCTGTCTAAAACCACCCTTCTTATTCACGACCGGGTTGTCGCCTGGTCATTGTCAAACATGTCAATCTTCCCGACAGGCCCAATGGGCATCAGCATTCCCACAAAGGAGCTGACGGAGCTTCATGAACCCGACAAACTTCGCCAGCTATCGCAAAGCGGTGCTCACCCCGGCATCCGTCAGCGTCTATGGGGTCTACAGGCGCGTTTGGACCCTACCGTCACTTTCGAAGAATATAGCTTTTGGGCCAAGATCGAGCGTGAGATGGAGGACATAGAATACCGTCGATATATGGCCAAGCTCAAGGGCGGCGGCATGCTGGGTTACCTCAAGGCCTATTTCAGCAACAGTGCCGAGCTTGAAGTTCCCGGTTCTGAAGATGTGGCGGCACAAAGCGAGACCACTCACCCCGAGAAGGAGAAGGAAAAGGATGTCGTTGCCAACAACAGCGATTCCTCGCTGAACCCAATTGCACCGTCAAGCACTCACGACTTGGATGCCGAGTGGCGACGAGCCGCTCGAGCTCTCCGCACGACTGGCTGGATCACCATCTTCTACCTGATCACCACCGATATCCTCGGTTGGAGCCAGACTCCTTACGTCTTTGCTAGTTGTGGCTATGGCCTCGGTGTTGGCATTTTCGTGCTTTTCGGGATTGCTGCCGCCGCCTCAGGTCTGATGATCTGGAAGGTCTTCCTGGCTCTCGACTCTTCACGCTACCCTATGTTAAGCTTCGGCGACCCTTTCTTCCGTCTCTTCGGCCCCAAGACCCGTCACTTCATCAATGTCACCCAAGCCTTTCAGATGTGGTGTTCTGTCTGCGTTGTGCTCATGGGCAACTCCCAAATTTTGTCGCAGCTGGCCAAGGCCAAGGTCTGTTACATCGCCATCGTCATCATCAACATGGTCATTGGCATGATCTCGGGCGCGCTCCGATCTCTCAAGCACCTTGGCTGGTTATGCAATTTCGCAGTGTGGTTTAACATCGTCAGTTTCATCATCATCTGTGCGGCCGCCGCTCTCAATGGCCCGGATCCAACTGTCGCTCTCCAGACAACCCTTCTGAAAAGCTTCGAGCCGGTCAAGACTTTTGTCGGCACTCCACCTGCCCAGTATCAACAGCAGACTACTGATATTTTCGCGGCTCAGTTCAATGGTATTGATACCATCGTCTACGCCTACTCGGGTGCTCTACTCTTCGTTGCCTTTCTGTCCGAAATGCGCCACCCCATGGACTTCTGGAAGGGCTGTCTGCTCGCTCAAACATTCATCTTGGTCGTATATGTCTTCTTCGGCGCGTTCGTCTACACCTACATCGGTCAATACTCTATCACCAGCATCACCCAGGTTGTCAGCCCCTACGGTCTGCAACTGGTCAGCAATATTCTGGCTTTGGTCACGGGTTTCCTCGCCATCTTTTTGTATTTCAACATCGGCATGAAGACGGTCTATTTGGAAGTTGGCCAGGAGCTGTTCGGACTGCCGCCGATCTCTACGAAGAAGGGATATTATCTCTGGCTGGGTCTCGGGCCTGTGTATTGGATTGTCGCCTTGGTGCTTGCCGTTTCGGTGCCCAATTTTACAGCCATCACCAACCTCATCGGTGGCCTGCTTAGTCTCAACTTCACTTACAGCATTCCCGCCATCATGTACGTGGCCTGGGCCATCCAAAATGCGGCAACCCTGCCTGGTGAGGGTTTCGATCCGTATACGGGAGTCACCACTCGTCATGATGATGGCTGGAAGCGATACATGCGCGGGCTTCGCAAGAGCTGGTGGTACAGCGTTCCCGCGATCTTGTTCGCCTTGGGCGGTTTGGCCTCATCCGGGATGGGTTCTTGGTCCGCTATTCAATCCCTCAAGGAGATCTTCGGCCCTGGTGGCACTATCCAGACATCTTGGAGCTGTACTGCTGTCGGTTAAGCTGAATAAGTGCCGATCCTAGTCAGGTTGCCCGCGGACTGCCCCAATTTGCTACAGAAGGCGACTTTCGTCCAACTTGACCCAAGCCTGCTCGGATGTGCACTTGAAGACGACAATGCCATGCCACATATTTGCTTTGAAATACCAGGTGGAATGAAGCGGGATCCTATGAAGTGCTTGAAGATAGTGCTCCAAAACAGCAACAATACCTAGATAGAGATCACAGAGCTCATTACTGTGAAATTCCCTCTTAATGTTTGATTATTCGAGGGAGCGCCACCATCGCGATCCCGTCAGCAAATTATCATATGAATGATACTGTAAATCCTGTCAGTCACCGTCACCAGGAGTCCACAAAGCTCTCGTAGAAGAACAAATCGGGTATCATTGCCATGTGCCTGCGTGGTCTAGACTTTGAGGCGCTGAGCACTCAGGGGGCCCGAAGCCCACGAGCAGCACGCGGTACGGAGTGGTGATTTCAAAACCCCTTCGTTTTGTCATTTACGTTTGGAGGGGTTCTCAACTTTCGCGTCAGACCACGCAACCATTTTCCGCAGCTTTGGTAAAATTCCCCCGACATCTCATTCACTCCACCAAACCCGAACATTCAAGTACATTTTGTCGAAAATGACACTGGAAGACTTTGAGAAGGAGTTGGCAGAGCAGAAAGAGGCGGAGAAGAGACGGGAGAGGCGCAAGGAACACGAGAAGTCCGAACACAGGCACCGACACCATCACCATCACCGAAATTCTCGACACCGCGACTCGCATTACGATGACGAAGACGGTCACCGGTCAAAGAGAACGAGACACTCAAGAGACGAGGAAGGGTCGGAAAGTAGACATAGGCACAGACATCACCGCCGCAGTAGAGGAGAGGAGGACACAGAGGAGGACAAGCCACCTGCAACAAGCTCAGGTTCGGGCGAATTGAAGCGTGATGCCTGGATGGAGACTCCTTCGGCGCTCGATATCGACTATGTCCAGAGGAAAAGACCCAAACCCTCGCCGCAGCCGAAGTCTGGTTCTCTAGAAGCTGACTTTGAGCTGAAACTGCATGAAAGAGAAATCAACCATCACCTGCGGGATCTCAAGAACGGCACTCCCACCAACGAGCTCGAAGCCGAACCAGCCAGCCACGAAGTTGATTACACATTTGGAGATGCTGGCTCTCAGTGGCGTATGACCAGGCTAAAAGGCGTATATCGGCAAGCCGAAGAAACAGGCCGCAAGGTGGAGGACGTTGCCTTGGAACGCTACGACAGTCTACGAGAATTTGATGACGCGAGGGAGGAAAGGATCGAGTTGGACCGCCGCAAGACCTACGGTGATGGCTATGTGGGCAAGGACAAGCCCAGCGGAGAGCTGTTCCAGGAGCGGAAGATGGATGCCGGTTTCAAACGACCTCATCCACGAGAAACTGAGACCAGTCCAGACCGAGTTCTTGAGCAGATTCCTGTCGCGACAACCAATGCCACTACCCGGAAGGTTGACCAGACTACGCTGAACAAACTCAAGGCACAACTCATGAGGGCTCAAATGCGGAAAGACCCTAAAACCGCGGACTTGGAAAAGGAGTACGCCGAAGCGCTTGCTGCGTTCGAGTCACAGGATCCCACGATAATCACCCTATCCGCCATGGATAACCGCATGCTCTCATCCGCGCCTCGGAATGAAGTCAAAGCTGTGCAGAACCGCCGAGGAGTTGAACGCGGCCAAGTCGAGGAGAACGAAGACATGAGCATTGAAGACATGGTCCGTGAAGAACGCCGCACACGCGGACAGCAAGGAGGCGAGGGTCTGCGGATGGCGGAGCGGATAGCCAAGGACGCCAAATTTGGCAATGACCTTGATTACCTCGACGAGAATGCCGAAAAACTGGCCAAACGGGTACACAAGTCCGATGTCAGCCTCCGCAATGTCGCCATCAATGAGTATCAAAAACTCAATAGGATCTTGGAGAACTGTCCGCTCTGCTATCACGAAGATACGAAGACACCGCCTGTCGCTCCTGTCGTGTCTCTCGCGACAAGAACATACCTCACTCTCCCGACCGAACCAGAACTCTCGCCCCAGTCCACCATGATCGTGCCAACCGAACATCGCACAAATCTCCTCGAATGCGACGACGACGAATGGGAAGAGATCCGCAACTTCATGAAATCGCTCACGCGCATGTACCACGACCAGGGTCGCGACGTCATCTTCTATGAGAATGCTGCGTTTCCGCACAGGAAGCCGCACGCAGCGCTTTCTGTCATACCGCTTCCTTACAGCCTGGGAGAAACCGCACCGGCCTTCTTCAAAGAGGCCTTTCTGAGCACAGAAGACGAGTGGTCCCAGCACAAGAAGATTATTGACACCTTGGCAAAAGCCAAGTCTGGCGGATTGGGCAAACTGGCGTTCCGGAGGAGTCTGGTGAAAGAAATGCCATATTTCCACGTCTGGTTCGAACTGGATGGCGGCATCGGACATGTGGTGGAGGACCAGGAACGGTGGCCCAGAGGCGATCTATTCGCGAGAGAGATCATTGGCGGCATGCTTGGGTTAGAACCGGATGTGATCAAGAGGCAAGGACGGTGGCATAGAGGGACAGACAAGAGGGTCGAGGATTTTAGAAAGACGTGGAGGAAGTTTGACTGGACTAGGGTGCTGACTGAGGGCGGTGCATAGTTGAAGCAGGGTACTGTACAAGTTCGACCTTGGGAACGATAATCGATTAATTTGAAGAGTGCCATTTAAACCATATGGTATGTTCTTGATCAAACAAAATTGAAGGGCGACGAGGCTTTGGCTGAAGTCACGGGGAGGCGGCGGGGTCTAGTGAGTCTCCGGTCTCCGCACCACCGTCACAACCGCCCATCAATGCGGCTCCTCGGTTATCCGCGGTTGGCTTCCAGCATCTCACTGCGCTCAAATACTTGCTTGTGTCCGGGGAGGAGAAAGACAAAAAGAAAAAAGGGAGCCGCTCCATGTCTCCTTGACGGATTGCCCTCCAACTTGCACCATGAAGTACGTTCCTTCACCACAAGCCTTGCGATGGCTGCAATGTCTGGCGCGGAGCCAAAGCCTTGGTACGCGTCCTCGAACATACGCCTCTTTCCTCCGCATGAGCAGACACTTCCACGCGACGACTCGGTTAGACAGGATAGAAACACACACACTGTCAGACATCGGTGAAGGGGTGAAAGAGGTACAGATCATCCAATGGTTTGTGGAAGAAGGGGCTCCCATCGAAGAGTGGAGTCCTCTGTGCGAGGTCCAGAGCGACAAGGCCTCGGTCGAGATCACGTCCAAGTTCAGCGGCGTCATCAAGAAGATCCATTTCCCACAGGACGCCGTCGTGCAAGTGGGTGACGCCATGGTCGACATCGAAGTGGAGGGAGATGCAGAACCTGAAGAGACTGAAAAGCCGCCGGCGGACCAGGACGATCCTGGCAAGATTGCAGACGAGGAACAAGCCGCAGAGGATAACAGGGCCGGACATCCCGAGGAACAAGACACATCGACTCCTGCAGCGGTGCCTAAGCTGCCCAGCAAATACGCCTCTCTGGCGACTCCTGCCGTCAGGGGTCTGTTGAAGGAGCACGGCATTGCAATCGAAGATATCCCGGGCACTGGCAAGGACGGCCGTGTCTTGAAAGAGGACGTTTACAGATATCTCGAACAAGGCAGCCCTGCGCAAACTCCTCCGACCATTGTATCGTCGGGGCCGTCGTCGAAGCCTGAAATCGACGCGAAGCAGACGGAAAGCGCGCAAAGGCTGACGCCTATCCAGTCAGCCATGTTCAAGAGCATGACAGGGGCCTTGTCCATCCCGCATTTCCTGTACTCGGACACGATCGACATCACGAACCTCGCCTCGATGCGGACTCGACTGAACACGGCCAGAAAACCCGAAGAGGCGACGACGCCGAAGTTCTCGTACCTCCCCTTCATCGTCAAGGCCGTATCTTTGGCAATGAACCAGTACCCTCTCCTCAACGCGCGGCTGGACTTGACCACTGACCCTAAGAAGCCACAGCTCATGATGCGCTCGGTGCACAATATAGGGATAGCCATGGACACGCCCAAAGGACTTGTCGTGCCCGTTGTGAAGGCCGTCAATGGGCGATCGATTACGTCCATCACACGCGAGATCCAGCGCCTCTCGCAGCTCGGCCAAGCAGGCAAGCTCGGCAACGACGATCTCACGGGCGGCACCGTCACCGTCAGCAATATCGGCAACATCGGCGGTGAGGTCGTGGCCCCGGTGATCGTCGAGGGCCAGCTCGCCATCATGGGCGTCGGCAAGGTCAAGACCGTCCCGGTCTTTGCAGCAGATGGCGTCACCGTCAAGCCCGCGCAGATGGTCAGTCTGAGCTGGAGTGCGGATCACAGGGTCGTCGACGGGGCCACGATGGCGAGGATGGCACAGGTGGTGCAGAAATACCTCGAAGAGCCGGGGACTATGGTCGTCGACATGAGTTAAATGAAGACAAGATTTTGCGTAGTAATATGTTGGTTGCCATGAGCTGAAATACAATAAACGCAGAGTTAGGGCCTTTGAAAGCTACATGCGATGAAATCTTTTTTTTTTGGCATATATAGAGGACGAAGTACACACCGAGCCAATCGCATGGAGGATGTGTGTATGCCAGATTTCGGCAAGAGCACAAGGCAAGAAGCAAAAGCAAAGGCAACATGCAAGTTGGGATATGTACCGCCTGTCTGTCTATCTAGCTGATCAACTTGGCATTCATGCCCACAATGCATCGGACAATGTCCCAATCTCCTCCTAGGCCGACCCAGTCGGTGACCACGATGCCGGTGCTCCAGTCTCCGTCCTTCACACGACCGTTGTCGCCTAGCATGTGCCTCTGACAGAGGTGCGACACGATAGCAGGGTTGACCTCTGCGGCGACCTTCTCGGGCCAGCAGTTGACGTTCCAGAAGTTGCTCGCGCTCAGGAAGTTGACGTACAGCGGGTACTTTTTGCTGCCCACGTTCTGACCCTGCAGGAGGCAGCACGACCCGCTGCGCTCCAGGTGGTCGCACGCGTACGTGATCTTCTTCTCGATCGACGGCTTCTCCATCACCTGGTAGAAGTCCTGCACGCAGATGTCACCCGACGGACACATCGAGTTGGGCGTGTTGTCGGCCCAGACGTGGCCGTCGATGCCCCATCCCCGGCCGTTCCACTCGTGCCGTAGGGGTTCTTCGAGGACGAATCGTCGCACCAGGACGATCCGGCCGCGCACCTCGCCCAGAGACGGCACGCGCGGCTCGGTGAACCACTCGCGTGGGTTGGTGTAGTTGTTTTTCAGAATGCGGGAGAGTTGCTCATCTGTGCCCTTGCCCGTGCCTTCACGCTTGAGTGATAAGATGAGGGTTTCACTGGGATTTTGCTTGAGGAACTCGAGGATCTGATTGTAGAGATCACGGAAGTATTTGTTGCCTGTGAGAGAGATGGGGAAGGAAGAGTGAACAAGCATGAGCTTGTCCGAGTTCGGGTCGTAGGGTTCTGGGACCTGGACGCGGATGTCAAAGAAGCGGACGCCGTTCTTGAGCTGCTCCTTCGGCGACACCGCCTGACAACGCACGGATGGCGCGGCTTGGTGATGCGTAGGCGAATTATGTGTGCCCGGAACCGACAGGACTCCGAGTGGAGTGTGGTCTGGGAGATCTTTCATCCAGGTTTCCAGGTGCGAGGTATTGTACAGAGCCACATAAGAAGTCTCAGGGAGAAAGATACCTGTAAAACGCAACTTGGGGTTCGCCGCGAGAGCGACCAGCGACGCCGTCTCCGCCGTCGGCACAGGGCAGTACATCTGATGCTTCCCTCCCAGGTCTGTCTGGAATGTCAGTCGAAGGCGCTCATTGGACTTGTTGATGACAGCTTTGATGTCCGTGGGCACCACAGTGAACGGCGGCAGCTTGATCGAAACCTCTCTGGTCGCAAAGGGCCTCGCGTCCGCAGGTATTTGAGGCACGGCTTTGCGGGTGGTGTTGTTCGTAAGGCCCAGCCCATTCGTGATCGTGGCCAAGGAAGCCGTCACATTTTGCATCTGGAATCCTTCATCCGGCGCAGGATCGAAATGCTCGACCAGCACCAGGGTCAGCGGATTGTTGCTGATGTTGCGGATAGTGACAGGGGGCACCATTTCGGGCGGCTTCTGTTGTCGTCGAGGTTTTGGAAAGGATGGAAAGAAGTTCATGGTCGCGGCTAATGACGAAAAGAGATAATAAGGGGACAGAGATGGGACGACAGCGAATGAGAAACTCCGGCCTAGAGCTGCACCTTTCAGCTGAGTTTGATCCCCTAGGCCCTTGTTGTTGGGCTCAATCCCAGGCCAACTCGAAGAGATCCGTACAAAAAGCGAATGAGAGCCAGCGAGAGGATGCGTGGGGCCCGTGGTCGTTGTGTGCCGCCAATCGCATTCCCTGCCGAGCGGCGAGGGCGCTTGCACATGCTCAGCTCGAAGTTGCTAAGTACCGAGTAGCCTCTCAATGGGTTCGAGGCTGAGATGGAGGACCGGAATCTGCCGGTGACGGCGCCGTGCGCATGAATTGAAGGGGCCACTGTTGTTGATTGGTCCTCAGCAAGGCATTCTCCATGATAGCCGATATGTTTGGTCGAAAAGATGATGACAAGTGGTAGTCGATTGCAGAGATAGTTAAAGCATCCAGTCAGATCACTTACCAGCATCTTTCTCTGTGCGTCCCCTGTCCACTGGAAAGAACTTCCCGATATTGTCTTTATAATTATAAATAAATAAATGGCGTGTGTAACCCATTGCCTCAAGCATCTTCGTCCTTCCCCTCCCACAAAATATGGCCCTTCCAAACCGCGGGGCCATGGGCTACGCCCACAATTAGCCACAGCATGAACAATACCGCAGATCATCGCGCAGCTGACCCATTTGATACCAGGACTATCAAGCACGGTCCCAATGGCGGTCGTGGCAAGCGCAAGGCCTGCTTTAGGGAAGACAAACCCCCACCATGTGAGCGTGAAAGACATGGTCTTGATCCCATTGAAGACGGAGATTGTTGTAATGCCACAGTACCAGAACGCAAGCAGCCAGAGGAAGATCGCTGCAATGCTGCCCATTGCACGGAGAATCTCAGGTGCTGAGACTGTCTGTACACCCAGAAAATCAACGGGGAGGACTGACGTTGCTCGTTCAGAAAGAATGACTAAGCCCGCGGCGGTATATGCTGTCGGGCCTACTGCGACATACATGCCAGACCGCAGAGACGGTACTTGGAGTTCGGCAGAGAATAGACGAATAACCCAAATCGCGTAAAGGAAGACAATGACCATCCACCCCAGGCCTTGGAAAGTGACTCCGGCAACAAAAACAGGGACTCCGGCGGGAGGCTGTTGATGTTGAAGAATCACCCCTGCCAGTGGTCCTATGACTATGAGCGGATACATGGGTAAGATCCAGGCAGGCGTCATCCCTTGGATGTTGATCCTTTGAGTAACGAACGGGAGGTCGTACTGAGAAATCGCAAAGAGCAGGGTCAAGCTGCAGTACACCCAAAAGCATACCTTCATCGCCTTGTCAAGCCAGACCCCGCAACCAGCAGAGTGACCATATGAATCCAAACCTTGGATAATAAGGCTGACCGAGACCCAGAGTGTTCCAATAAAGAAGGCTTCTCCGGGATGGATGAATGAATGTCTAAAGGAACCATGTGCCACAATGAATTGTCTCATTATCAAGACTGTGAAGGATACGAACATGATCAGATCGATAATAAAGATGACTTTACCGATTGTGGTCAAGCCACGGAATTCGTAGGGTGTCTGGTAGATGACAGTTGCCAGCAAACCTGTGGCCATCGTCGTCGAGAACCAGGCCCATGTGAAATGGTTCAATCTCTGTCTGATCGGAGGGAGGAGCTCTGGTTTGGCAGAGAAGGCAATTTCTCTTCATCATGCTTACCACCCCACGCACAGCTCATTTCGACAGGGCTGAAGGGGGAGTAGTTGATCGACCCTTAGCTGGCAAAGGCTGTAGGCACAAGGATATGCGTAGATGCTGAAAGAGTACTTCCTTGTTCATCGCCGAGATAGTCCGCCTCAACGAGTGTTATTTCTGATTTCACCTCATTGTATCCATCCGCGCCATTCGCAACACATAGTGATATATCAGACGGAGACGAGCGAGGGACGAAGAACAGGAGAGAGTGGGCTGTGAATATTTATGTGCGCCACCGTAATTCCCGACGTCACGCGCTGCGTCTCATCAGCTCGCACAACTGAAATGACGGTCTTTTGAAACATCGAGCTGACAGCAGTGAAACTCGACATTATCGCTTGCCACGAGGGATTTATGTGTAGAGGTATATCTCGCTAAGAGAGATGCCCATGCTGGATCGAAATTAAGGAACCTGTCAACACTATCCACTTGAAAGGGGTGAAAATTAAGCGAGCCACGCATGCAGTTCTGTGCCTTCACCCGACATCATCTGTATGATATGGCCCTTCCGCCTACGGAATGATCTTTGCGGCTCTCATCCTGTCAAAAGCGATTGCGTAGGCTTTGACAGTGTCGATAGTTTCCTCAAAACCCACTGCCCGAGTGGCGCTCAAGTCATACTGGCGGTCAAAGAACGCCTTGTCCATCATAACGTCCATGAAAGGCCAGTAATACGAGTCCAATTGGCTAGCTTTGAGCCCTTCTCTTGCCACCAATTTGTTCCAGGTTTCAGCATGTCTCTTGACAAACTCTGCTGGGGGTTCAAAAGTGCCCTGCGGACCAATCCCTTCAAGACCAAAATAAGCGCAGATTCCGGGCCACTTGTCTGCCCAAGTCACCACGTCGCCGTTTGTCACGTTAAAGGTCTTTCCAGAGCCACATTTCTCGGGGTTCAAAGCCGCATATATTTCCATCTTCGCCGCAATGTCTTGGAAGGTGTCAGTATGTTTGTGACGGTAGCCATGCTCAGCGCCCGGATACGGGACCTTGGCCCCGGCTCCATGAACTTCGCGGTACAGGCTTAGGTAGAATGCCAGTCCTTGAGCAAGATTCATGACGTTTGTCCCTGGGACAAATCCAATCATAGCGTCTGGTCTGATTTCGGTGAATGTCCACGAGGCCCCTTTCGACAAAGAATCGAGCACGTCGTATTGAGAGTAGTAGAAGATATCGTCGGCGATCGGTTTTGGGACTCGAGGGTATGATTCCTTGAGCGGAGCCACAATTTTGACGACATCAGGGCGTTCTGCAGTTCCGGTTAATCAGGTCCAAGAAGTAGAGGTAGCCATTAATACCCAGTCCATACGCCTTTCCACCAGTTTGTAGGATGAAGCTTTTGATGTTGGGCGAGACCTCTTGGATAGCCTCTACAGCGGTCTTGATGAGGTTAGTGTTGACCTCTTTGAGCGTCTTTTGGTCTTTCCCTGTGTTAATGTAGACAAATAAGAAGACATGAGTAACAGTCTCGATCTTCGGGACCTTTTCCTTCAGCGCCTCAGCAACAACGTCGACGGGGGCCGTAAGGTCAATGCCGCTGGCCAGTTGCAGTCGTGGATCGTTAGGCCAATGGGCGTCCGAAATCGATAAGGGACGATTTGACAGCGCGGTGACCTGACTGAAAGTGGTGGGAGTGGGATAGCTCAGGGACTCTTTCACAAGCGCCCATCCCGATATGCCAGATGCTCCGAAGACGAGGGCGTGGAAGTTGGTCGACATGGTTGTTGGGAAATGTTGGTGCTTTTCGGGGCAACTGAATATCTGGTGATAGCGAGCAGACCACCCTTCGTTTTCAACTCCATATTTATATCTTTTGCTGCGAGTGGAATGTTCAGGAAAGCGTCACCCCATCGCATCACACAATCACCTCGTATAGAAAGACTAGTCACGTTCATCAAGCCGACAGCAGCAATACCCTAAACAAGAGCAAATGCTTAAAGGGTCAAACTGCCAGCCAGTCCAGTTCCTGGACATACCCGGATGGGGAGGTGGGGAACATTGGATACATGCTTAGTCGTACGAGAAAACATTTACGTGGGGTTTCAAGGAGTGCCTGGCGAGAGCGAATTGAACGAAGTCGAATTAGGATTTTGTAGAGCTTCATGTTCCATCGTACTTGCGTAAATCGGCCGAAACGGACGAGCCGGGTCTTTTGCGAGACGGAGAATTGCCGGCTTGGGGGGCGACACATTTCACAGTAAGAGAAGTCCTCACGCTGTACCTCGTACAGTAGTACTAACCAAAGCCTGACATGGAGGAGGGGAGCTTGCCTGTGCGGAAGCGGTTGCCAAGCCCGTCGGAAGAACTAGGATGCCGACAGAAGTGTCTGACATAAGACTCTTGGCACTGCCCCCATCCACATCCGCTCAAAAATACATGATTATAGATTATAAATGCAAAATACCCCTCGTAAATCAGCACACAGAGCAACGTGGCGCAGCGGAAGCGCGCCGGGCTCATAACCCGGAGGACCTTGTGAGTACAAGACGTATATGTAACTTCACATTATGATGATGCTAATTCTTCGCCCAGGGATCGAAGTACGTTCATTTCATGGAAAAAGCTCAATAATATCACCAACTAACTGAAACTCAAGACCAAGCGTTGCTAAGAGTATTTCTGATTTTTGCCGGCCAGAAACTACGGTCGCTTGTGGCCATCTGCGCCTTTCTTCTTTCCCTAAACTTTTTTTTCTCTGTCATCCTGGTGTATCAGTGTGTACGAGTACGACGAGCGAGGAGACTGCCAAGCCGTACACACACCGTATGAGGTCTGTATCACAGGGTCAAAGTACAAAAACAAGCTTCATCATTAAACCAACAACCCTCTCTTTTATTCTTACACTCCCCAGAGGAAATGTGCTGTTGTAGCCAACTAGCAGTGTTATATCATCCTCTGCCTAGTATCTAATATACCTCTGGAATTCGGCTGACGCAGGCCGACACTAACTTGTCGTAGATTGATGCAATCCACTCTAATGCGAATTTTTTTTATGAAATTGAGGCGGTTGCAAACGTTCGAACTCCACCTCACTTTTATCTTTAAATCAGGTTAAACATACAGCTAGGCGAACTCAGAACCTGATCGGCCTCAATTCCAAATCTCACGCACGCGTCAATTCTGACCATGTCTTTCCTGCACTCACGACTTTGTTCGCAACCGGCAAAAGTTCGTTCGAATGGCTGACGCTCGGCGCGTCGGCCATCATGTCCACGAAACAAATGCGCTGAGTTTTGGACACCATGGTACTGCCACTTACGATGTCCGCAGGCATGAATGGACGTTTTTGCGCCGGCATCAGACTCAAGACGCCGAGGATCGACAGAGAACGCAGGCCAGCTGGAACCATTCATCTCACTTTCTGTTGGTGGACGAACGGACGTGGAACTCTGCCCCAGACTCTGTACAAGCAAGAGAGAAAGCGCAAGACTCTAGACTAGGTCGTGGACTGCAGAATTTATTCCTGAAGCGAGTCCCCGACGCAGCCTTGCTTGCTGTCGATTTACCCAGTCAGTCAAATACGACAGCCTCTCAGTCCGAAAAGCTCAATCGACCATCAGAAAGCGTCCTGGCTCTTGGACATGCTCGACCTTCGCTTGACTCTAGATTGCACAACGACGCCCCATATACTCCGATCGTTGCATTTCGAGCTTGCTCGAATAACGGCATTCTTCTGCTCCTTGCCATAGAGGAGCGTCAGGTTGCCATCCGCAACGAGGCTGGTCTGCTGAATTTGTGCACAGTTCCTTTCATTGGCAACGTGCTGGGGCACTGGGCGGAGTCGACAGACGAAATACTTCACATATCATCCGCCAGTCATGTGAAGGGCACGCAATTTCTTGTTGTCAAGCCAAGTGGCACGACTATTTTGCGGCCCACGTTGTCAAAGCACAAAGTGCCTGAGGTGCTTCTGGATCCATGTCCAGTCGTCACCATTCCATGTTCGAGAACGGGAGCCGAACCTCACGCGCACGCCATATTCAATCCCCAGGATCGGAGTCGGGTGGTAATTGTGGACACCGGTGGGCAATGGAGCGTCTGGAAGGTCACGGGAAGAATATCAAGGTCGGCGCGCATTCTACACCAAGTATCTCTGCAAGGGTCAAACCATATAAGCAGTTCCGGCCAGCAATCTCTGTTCTCAGGGATCTCAACATACAGGGATAAATGGCACCGAGCTTGTTGGTTAACGAACCCGAAAGGAGTTATGGACAGACTCTTGGTGTGCAATCGACGCGTTGCTGCGGCTTTTGATCAGACAGGATCATTTTTGGGTCAGGTCGACATGCGCCTGGGATCCCTGTCAGATCGGAACCTGATTCTTGATGTCAAAATCAGCGACCGTCGGAGTGATCTCATATTCGTCCTGACGACGTCACGCTTCCTCATATTCAGTTCGTCTCAGAGCACTTGGAGGATGAGAAATCCAAAGGAAGCGCTTGAATTGGTATGTTCTTGGAATCATTACCGCGATCGCACCGATCTGGGTCTCCGTATGGGTGTCTTTGAAACTCTGCAAGGTACGGGGATCTACTGTTCAACTTAGCGTATCGCTAACATATAGTTTTAGATTCGTGGGTACTCCTTTATTCAGCGACTAGCCATTTCGCCGTCCTGTACCAATTTGAACAAGAGGATTCCTCTTCGACGACTGTCGCCATCCGTGATCCTTCAACTTTTCAGTTACCGCAGCATCTAACAGAACGCATGAGGGATGTCACTGATATCATCATGTGCCCAGTAGCCTTCTCAACTCAAGATCGGGCTTTGGCGGCTGGCGGATTCGGTCTCATCAAGCTCATTGCCTGCTTGGCTACAGGGGAAGTTATCGAAGCATTGTACAAGCATGAACTCGAGCAATTTGGCCTTTCGGGTCATCTACCAAACAAGTTTAGGGAGAAGGTGCCACATTTATCATTGCCCCGGACTCTGGATAAGCTTCTGAATACCCATCCATTGAGCTCTGAATATGTCGTTGACGATGGTTCAGACGAGGATCTAGACGAGGATCTCGACGATTTTGTTATAGCGGATGACGGAGAAACAAAATATTTGACTAGCGAAGCCAGCGCTGCGCATGTCACTTCACAAGATGTACAACCTGTTCCTTTCAGTTCTCGGAATTGGCGGGGTCTTCTGCGCTACGAAACTTTGATGGAAAAGGACAACGATGGTATGTCTTTCAGGTCGACCTTGCAACAAGCGATTGAACATCTAGAACGTCTCAAAGACGAGGATACGGTAACGCCCATCCATCTGATATCAGACCTTGTCGACAGGTGTCGCATCACGGATGTGGAAGAAGATTCTCAAATCGCGACTCTCTGGCTTGATACCCTCGCGCCCCAAGCCAGTATTACCGTCGAACCGGCCGCTTCTGCTGTAGGGGGCTTCCCTAGTGCTTCGCACAGGCATTTACTTCTTGACCTTTACGAGAGCTTGGTTAGAGTATATGTCGAATCGCTATCAGGTCAAGTCACAGACCGCGGTCGGGTCAATCGCGAAAGGCTAGTCCGCCAGATAGTGGGAGATAGCTTTTTGGGGGCATTCGTGTTGATTTCCGAGAATCTTTCTCACCCATCTGATTCTCCACTACCATATTCGACCCGGACACGGGATGGTGAGGTCCCATCTCCGTCACTAGGTCTACAATCGGATGATCAAGAGTTTTCGCAGGCACCAACACCAGAGACTCTTCCCGATGCAGAAGAACCTGCAGTCACCCGTCTACGGAAATACGCAACATTTCATCGTGAAGTGCCGCCTTTACTGCTCGACCATCACGCGAACATCTCCAACATTCTAGCCCATCTCCCGGATACTATACAACAGAATCCCGCAGATTATTCCTACCAGCAAACAAATCAAAAGATCAAGTTCACGCAGAAGGAGATAGCGGCAGAGTCGTTGAACACCAAAGAGAGGAAGAAGGCCCTCAAATCTGCCGCTCGACTAGAGCGGAAATTGGAAAAAACTCAACTCATCAGTCAAGAGGTTATGATGCGACGAAACTTATTGCCCGGCATCAGCAGCAGACCCAAGGTCTCCGATCTGCCAGAGCGAGAGGTGCAAAGCAGTCAGCCAGCTGCACCGAGCTCGAGTCAAACGACTGGACTACCAGGATTGAGCATGACACAGCCGGAGAGAGGTGCTTATGGGACGAGACAAGCAGAGAAGAAGGGCAAGAAGGGGACGAAGAGACAGGCAGGCTTTTAGATTTTGGACAGCCGGTATATCTCGAGCGTGCTGTATTGGATGGTGCCAAGGCCTGCAAAAAGGGGCGAAGGGATTACCCCGGATTTTTGGATTCTCCGAGCAGGCCGGTGACCTCTGGCTTGTGGCATGGCTCGGTGGGGCTCACTAGGCCTCTTAGGCGTTCTTTTACCTGGAAGTGCGGGGATGGCGCAGGCCAGGGGCTGGGTAGGGGCCACTTCGGTCGCCTGAGTGGAGGAAGCTGAGGTGCTTTGTCGCGTGAGGTTAGGGATACTCTCACCACCCACCATCCGCCTCCCACCACCCTGGCTGTGCACAGCTCTTGCTCTCGGGTCACTTGACTGAGAGACTTGACCCCTCAATTGCTTCTGCCTCAGCTGTCCATCTCTCCTCCCCCTCTCCCTCACCTCCCCTTCTCTCATCCAAACCATCCTCCATCCTGCCATCCCACCTGTAGGCAAATCTCTCGTCCATCACATACAATCGTACCCTCCATCGGGTATCTGTGCTCCCACTTCACCTATTGGTTCTTGGTATGTATCACTTGAACCTTACATTGGCAACATTCTCTTCCGCCTCACATTGCTCTCAACTCTGACCACTTGCTCCTTCTCAGACTCGCTCACTCATCACCTAACCTCCAACTCGTCACAGTCAACATGTCTGCCGACACTTCAGATCTCACAAAGGTCGACTCTGCCATCGGTGTCGATGATGCCGCACACAAGGATGCAGCCAAGGAGACCAAGCGAAGAACAACATCCAGCGCTCCCGGCGTCATGAATATCAATGACCTTGGTAAGCTCACTAGCTGAAGCCTCAGGGATTCTTGCTCATTAGAGATCAGAAAAGGAGGGAACAAAAATCGCCGTCGCTCCTGAGACGCAAAAGACCGGATGGTAAGAGTGGATTCCTCACGTCCCCTTGATCGCTCGGAGTTGACTCAGCCAGGAAAATCAACACCTCGCCTTCCACGGTCGAAGATCCCTCAATCCTGAAGAAGCTGCTCACCACTCCCCCCGTCAAGAAGATCGATTTGCACTTCCCCCTAGGTCTCGAGGTCACTGCAAGGAACCTGAAAGGTGTCACGATAAAGGATGCGCTGGATGCCATTCACAAGCAATTCAAGAAGAAGGTAAAGTCCTTCCGTTGTATCCAATATATCTAGACAATTGACCAAGATCACACACTGACGTCTTATTTGCAGGCTGATGACGAGATGGAAGAGCCATACCTCAAAGGCTTCGAATGGGACCCCGAAGAGTCGTGGACAAGACTCAAGGTCCACACCCAGAAAGAAGGGCTACCCGTTGGCAAGAAATCCAAGAAGAAGGGCGGCGACGAGTAAACGTGATTACCATGACTTGAATGTACACGACCAGGCCGCTCCTGGCTGAGCGGCAAGACCGACTCTCTCAACTGCTACCAATCACTGATCCCCTACGATGATATATGGCTATTCCAAAAGAAAAATCAGCTTGGTGTGCATGGCAAGGTGCTTTGCGGGCTCTCTTTCTCACTCATTCTGGCAATGTTTGCTCAATGCCGTGGTGGTGGATACCCAGATGGCTTGAATTTGCTAGCTTAGACCAGCAATGGCATAACCTCGAACTGATTCAATGCATCTCACAGTCACGTATGGGTCAGCCCTGACCACCTGTGACAGAAGTCGCATACAACCACGATTCAAACCGGAGTTAGTTGCTCCTTCTGCTATGCGGCGGTGGCGCGAGAAGGGCAAGCAGTTTTACCGGAATAGGGCACTGTAACTGATCTTTTGCCGCGCGTGGAATGCCCCGTATGCAAAAAGCGAGTTGCAGCCCCATTTGCTCTTGACAATGTCGATTGTGCTACCTCGTACAAGCCCGTGAGATCTTCGATGCTGCTTACTCTCCAAAAAATCATCATTCATCGACCACACTCTGTAATTCTCCCTTGAAACCCGCATCGACACTCACCTCGACTTGGGGGTCCAAAGCACGCAAATTCTAGTAGCAAACATGGGATCAATCCTCCAATCAGAGGACACCGGCCCCAGCCAGAGCGACGCCAACAACATCCCCATCGTCGACCTCTCACCATTCACATCGCCACCACTCTCAGCCGACACCTCACACGAGGCTCGGCTGAAGGCGGCGCGAAAGCTCGTCCGCGCATGTCGCGAGGTCGGCTTCGTGTACGTCAAGAACCACGGGGTGCCGGGGGATGAGCTGGACAAGGCGTTCGCGCTCTCCAAGCGGTTCTTCGCCCTGCCGATGGAGGACAAGATGAAGGCGCCGCATCCGCCTGGCTGGGCGGTGCACCGCGGATATTCGTGGCCAGGGCTGGAGAAGGTGTCGAGCGCCATGTCCAAGAAAGACGACGAGGACGCTGTCAGGAAGTTGAGGGAGGTGCAGGATTACAAGGTACGCGCTCTCTCCTTCCTGTGTCTCTCTGTCCGTTGTATCCCATTTACCCACGAGGAGAAAGAGAGGGGGGCAGGCATCCTTGTGCACAATTTTCTCTTCTCGTTACCAGGGTTCTTCCTCACCCCACACTATCGATTCTGTTCACACGGTATACCGATCTTATTTTTTTTTTATTGTTTTTAATATATCTCTTTTCCAAACAGGAAAGCTACGAAGTCGGCTCTGAGACCAACCCAGACCAGCCCAACGTGTGGCCGCCCGCGGAGGTGCTCCCGGAGTGGCGGCCGTTCATGAGCTCGTTCTACTGGACGTGCTTCGAGGCGGCGAAGCACATCCTGCGCGCGCTGGCCCTGGGTATGGGGCTCGCGGACGAGGACCACCTGCTGAACTTCCACGACGGCCACCACAACCAGCTGCGCCTGCTGCACTACCCGGCCATCCCGGCCGCGGCGGTGGAAGGGGGCAGGGTCGCGCGCATGCCCGCGCACACGGACTGGAGCAGCGTGACAATGCTGTTCCAGGACGATTGCGGCGGACTGCAGGTCGAGCGACGGCGTGCTGCTGCAGGCGGGAAGACAGAGGAAGACCAGGGGGAGTTCGTCGACGTCGACCCCATCCCCGGCACCTGCGTGGTCAACGTGGGCGATCTGCTCATGCGCTGGAGCAACGACTACCTCACGTCGACGGCGCATCGCGTCCAGCTCCCGCCCCTTCAGGACCGCTTTACCGGCGACGAGAGGCTGACCCGCGCCCGCTACTCGATCCCTTACTTCCTGACCACCGATCCCGACACCGTCATCGCGTGTCTGCGCTTCGACGACGCTCGTCCCCCCAAGTACGACCCCATTACGCAGCGCGAATATGCAGCCATGAGAGCGCGGATGCAATATTGAGTTTTGGAAGAACCTCTATTGCTAGGGTGGGCATAGCGTCCCTGGATGGGGAGCAATGTGTTAGAAAGGAAGGGCGTGCGAGCCGCTCCATCTCGACTCTCTGTTTCAAGAACTAATAGGAGCCCGGTTTCGGGCCTGATCCGGGCAGGAGAGTCGGTCATTAGTGCACTCTTGACATCATGCTCCCCATTTGGTCACCATGCACTCGATACACCTCGTCAATCTCGGCCCGGTAGACTCTGGCTGCTTCCCTGCGGCGTAAACTGCCCTTTGACGTACGAGGAAGGGGTTTCTCCCTCGCGGCGAAGACAACATGCGTCTTGGTGAGCTTCGCAATTACAGGCGCTTCAACGTTGACCTGGTCGATCAAGAGTTCTATTTCACTCCGCAGCTGCGCCGCGTCTGCACCTCCCCGCTCCATATCCCTTAGACCCTCTTCCGTCAGCTCAATCAATGCAATTGCTTGCTGATGCCCGTCTCCCCATAGCAGCACGTCCTGGACCCGATCGTGGCCGTGTTGGATCTTGGCCTCAATGCCGGCCGGGTGAAATTTGATGCCGTGGCCGAAGAGGATCAGGTCGTCAACGCGGCCCGCGAATTTCCACGTGCAGGGCCGACTCGGGTGAGGGGCGAAGAGATCGCCCGTCGCGTACTCGCTTAGGTGTGGGAAGGTTTGGAAGACGGTTTGACGGGACACGGCCGTTGGATCTTTGAAACGAACTATAACCGGTTCATGGAGTGTTGTGGTGGCAGCGGGCTGTGATTTCGAGTCACCAACTGCTATCGCGGAAGATGATGGTTGAGTTTCGCTGTCGGCTGCCACAGGACGCCATTCTATGCCCATATGGCACGCGTCGATCGATAGATATTCCATCTCCTCCGTACCGACCTGGTAGAGTGCCCACCACCCGGTCTCTGTGGCGCCGAAGAATTGGGTAAATGTAGTGTCCTTTAGGCGATTTGTGAGGATGGTTGCGGCTCGAGGCGAAAGCACACCTATGAGAAGATTTAGCCGAGTAGTGGACGTGGACTCAGAGTGGACGGCCATACCACCGCCATACGTGATACTAGATAATGAACTTAGCCTTGCGAGATCTTGATCCGAAGAGGCATATTTCTCCAGAACCGCGGGAGCGCAGAAGATGCAATTCCCCTTGCCATACACAATGGCGTCGAGCAAGTCCGTTGCATTCATACTCCGGTCCGAAGGTCCGAAAACATATGTGGTCTTGCCAAAGACAGTGAAACACATCAGGATTATGGTGCTGATGACATGAAAGGGGGCAAATGGCACAATCAGTCTTCCGGCTGTAGCGTTCAGAGGGTTGATCCTGCGAAAGCCGGGGCCTCCACACTGACACTCCTCGGGCAACTGAGTAATCTGGTCATTGGCGGCCATCTGCGCATGGGTGATGCGAATAGGCTTTGGGAGGCCAGTCGTGCCTGAACTGTGCAAGATCAAGAAAGTATCTTGAGCGGCTTGGTCGAACGTTTTGGGCATTGGGTACTTTTCTGCGGGAGTAGGGTCTAGCAGTTCATCTAACTCTGGGCAGACAGCATGGTTCATTGACCGAGCAGCTAGTATGTCTGACACATCCACGCCTTCTGCAGAGAGGAAAAGATGGCAGTCGCACAGCTGGAGCAGATTCAAATGGGCTGCGAGGCTGTTGATGTGAGACGAAAACAGAATCTGTCCTCGGAAGCATCCGTGAGCCAAGGTATGACCTGACGTGTCTGAGCCGAAGTCGGACTCGCCTTACCTGGTAGCCAGTTTTGGCAGCTGCCATGGACAATATGTGATATCTCATGTCGGATTTGCCGACATAGGCCAGAGTTGGGAAATGGGCGGCGGAGCCAAAGGTAGTCCTGATGAAGCGTGCAGCGCGGTTGATTGCATTTGCGAAAGCGCGAAAAGAGATGTCCCGATACCCGTGGGACAGAGTAGATGACAGGGGAATCGAAGCCCAAGTTCTGGCCGGGTCATTCTCAGCGATTTCGTCTATGGCCACAGGGAAGAGACGACGACCGGGGTGAGCAGTGGTTGAGTCAGCAGGCATTCTGGAGGGCAGGAAGAGAAGATACAAGAAGACAGGTTGTAGAGAAGAGTGGGACTGGGGACATCCCAATGGCTATTTATACAGCCCACGGTTCGCCTGGGGGCCTGGAGAAGAGACGGACGAGGATCAAACCGAGCCATCCGGAATTCTGGCATAGTATTCCGTACTTCGGGACCTACTTGGCCAGCTGGCTGCTAAGCAGCATGATTTGTGGGCGGAGGGGGGGATATGCACATGGCTGTACCCGTATCAGGATCACCCTGGCTGAAGAGTAGGAACAAGAGTATGCATTCTGGCCGTCGGTCTGCTTCGCGGGAAGTTGCAGTCGAACTGAATGCAAAGAGAGAGGAAAGTGAAAAGAGAATTAAAAGTGTCAAATGCCAAATGCTTGGCGGTGACATCAAATGCTACTCACTATCTAATACCCCGCCGTAGTGTCTCGTATACAATATGCACCACTACGTGTTCCCTCCACCAATGCTTTTCTTCAGACCTCCGTGCTTCCCCAGATCGAATGAAGCTCCATGCCCTCACTCATCGTCTACGCTTGTCGCACAGGTGACAGCTGCATAAGCTCCGCCCTATACAGGTAAAACACCCTTAAGCCTTGGAACTGGACATGAAGCCGTCATCATCATAAACCCCCCACCACCGCCGTTCCCATTCTACTCCCCCTTTCCCTCTCCCAGCCTTGTACAGGACGACCTGTTGTTTACTTGATTTTTTGCTCTCATCTCTTCACAATGTTGCGTTCCTCGCAGTTCCTAGCGAGTCTCTTGACTCTGGTTGCGTCGTCTCCGGCCCTAGAGAAACGACAAGCTCCCTTGTCGACATTCATTCCTCAGGAGCAAGCTATATCCATCCAGGGCGTCCTGGCCAACATCGGTGGCCTCAACTCCACTTGGGTTCCAGGTGCCAGCCCTGGCGTCGTCGTCGCGTCTCCCTCAACAGTCAATCCTAGTGGGTTTTGTCGCTTCTCCGTTACTAAACGCAGAGAGCTGCAAAAATTGATAGATGCTTGCAGATTATTTCTACACTTGGACTCGTGATTCGGCATTGACTTACAGAATGCTCATTGAGGAGCTGGTATTCGGAAACTTGACTCTGAGAAAAACCATCGAGGATTACACCACTGCTCAAGCCATTCTGCAGACCGTCACCAACCCCTCTGGCTCGCTATGGCCAGCAGGCGACGGCCTCGGGGAAGCCAAGTTTTATACCAACCTTACCAGGTTCGACGGCACCTGGGGTAGGCCGCAGCGTGATGGTCCCGCCTTGAGGGCCATTGCCTTTATGGATCTGGCTCCTGTCCTTTTCAAGTTGAACGAAACGGCTCTGTACAAGCAGATCTATTGGCCGCTGGTCCTCAACGACTTGAGATACGTGGGCCAGTATTGGAATCAGGTAAGCCATTGGGTGGTCTGTCAGCCAATGTGCCCATTCAGCTAAGCTCCCAATTGCTAGACGGGCTATGATCTCTGGGAGGAAGTCCACGGATCGTCTTTCTTCACTATCGCCAACCAGCATCGCGCTCTTGTCCAAGGAGCTCTTCTGGCGAGACAGCTAAACACAACCTGCTCACCCTGTGCTCAGGCACCTCAAGTCCTGTGCTTTTTACAGAACAATTTCTGGAACGCCACTGGGGGTTACCTCACGGCTGACGTGAACGTCAACAACGTCATTCGTAGCGGTATCAACTCGGACCCGATTTTGGCAAGCATCTCGGTTTTCGATGCGAACGCTACGTGCAATGCTAGCGGTAAGAATTCCATACTATTCACGGCCTGCCTTTGACACTTCTAACGAAGTCCTCCCTAGACTTCCAGCCTTGCGACTCAAAGATGCTCGCCACACACAAAGTCCTGGTTGACAGCTTCCGCAATCTCTATCCGATCAACAAAAACGCACCACCTCCAAACGCTGTGCTAATTGGCAGATACCCGGAGGACACCTATTACGGCGGCAACCCTTGGCCACTTTGCACCCTTGGCGCCGCAGAAATGCTCTATGATGCCGTCCATCAAATCAGAACTGCTGGTCAGCTCACCGTAGACAACTACAGCCTTCCATTCTTCACCGATCTTTTTCCCACCATCAGCATCGGACTCTACACGGGAAATGTGATGAACCAGATCTTAGCCAACATGACAACATATGCGGACGGCTTTGTCTCTGCTGTCCAGCAACACCTCCCCTCCAACGGCAGCATCTCAGAACAATTCGACCGCACCACCGGCTTTTCCACCTCCGCGTCCAAGTTAACCTGGTCATTCGCTTCCTTTGTGACCATGTCCCGTCGTCGGGCAGGTCAATTCCCAATGAGCTGGGGTGCCTCGCGTCCATTAGCGAACACGAACCTCACAAGAGGCCAGTGTCGTGGAACGAGTTTTAACGCCACGGGGAATTATACGCCGGCCCTCGCAGCCGGGGCGCCCAATGTGACCAAGGACTGCGAATCGGAAGTGATCTTCAGCGTCAACGCCACAACATCGTTCGGGCAGAACGTCTTCCTTTTGGGGAATGTCACGAAGCTAGGTGGTGCGCTGAACAACGCGGACGATATCATCCTCCCTCTGAATCCGGGGAACTACACGTCTACGAATCCCGAGTGGTACGTGGACCTCTGGTTGAAGGCCGGCCAGTTCGTGGCGTACCAGTACGTCCTACAAAGCGGAGCGCAGTGGGTATTTGAAGAGCACCCTGTGAGGACTCTGCAGGTTGGAGCGTGCGGCAGTGGACGGGTCGCCCGGGCGAACGACGTGGCCGCATTTCCTTCTTAGGGAGAAGAAAGAGACAACACAATGAACCAGCAGGGAGGAATAGCCAACGATCGGAAGGTGGACTTGTGATTAGAGAAAAGAGGAGAGTTGAGGAATCAGGAATCAAAAGGACGACAACGGCCATGGTATTGGTAATGGAAGGGCGAATGAGTGAACGAATTTCCTCGAACCAAAATGACACCATCGTGATCGTCACGCATTCAACATTCAGCATTCGCGATTGCGCAAATACGGAGTACTTACACACCAGGTAGCATCATAGTACCGAGTATAGCTTGCCGGACATCTTACTCTCAGCCTTGATTCGAGTGACCATGAAACTTCCATTCCCGTTGCCATTCCCATTTGCCGTTCCAATGTAAACGGGATGTGCAATGTCGATGCAGATGTGAATGTAGAACTCTCTATAGAAGGACGAAGTCTTCAGTCAGATTGGACAACTCGTCAGCCTGGTTGATACTAGTAGTGATATCGGTGTGGTGATTGCTCTCAATAGCGCTTTCCCTGCGTGCCTTGGCGTGCTTGCTATTTTTTTGGAGGCTGCTATTCCGTCTCCCGCCCGGGGTCGCGCTGGTTCTGTTCTAACACACTGGCACGTCTCTCCATCTCCTTTGCCTCTCTCCCCCCTCGCAGACGACGCACCGAGTTCTCTGCCCTCCCCATCCCACCCACGCGACTAGCTCCAATCTCAACCTCGAATTCCATCCATATGAGAATCCATTTGGCTATTCAAAGGCGTGTTCACGAGTGTCCAACGATGGCCTTGGGCTTGTACGGCTCCTCGAGGTACTTCATCTCGTCCTCGGTCAAGGACTTGCCCTTGACGGCGACGGCCTCCTCGAGGCGGGCCAGGTTGCTGAAGCCGACGATAGGGATGGTTCCCTTCTGGATGATCCAGGCCAGGGCGACGTGCGACATCTTCCAGCCCTTCTTATCCGCGAGCTCCATGACGCGCTTGATGATTTCGCGGTCCGCCGGGTCTAGGCCGCCGAACATCGGGTTGCCCTTCATGCTCTCCTCGCGCACTGTGGCTTCCGACCCCAAGGGGCGCGCCAGCAGCCCGCGGTACAGAGGCGCCCAGGGGATCAGGCCGACGCCCGTCTCGTGGCAGTATGGGTTCATCTCACGCTCTTCCTCGCGGTAGCACAGCGAGTAATGGTTCTGCATGGACACGAACTTGGTCCAGCCGTGGACTTCGGCGCAGTTTTGCATCTTGGCGAATTGGTAGGCCCACATGCTGCTGGCGCCTGCAATGGGAGAGGATCGGGTTAGTCCAGCGGGTGAGGAGAGGCATGGAAAGAAAGAGGCCGGGATAGCGTACCGATATACCGAACCTTGCCCGACTGCACGAGGTCGTGCAAAGCCTTCATGGTCTCCTCCACCGGCACAGTCCGATCAAAGCGGTGAATCTGCAGCACATCCAGATAACTCGTGCCCAATCTCTCCAAGCTGGCCTCGACGGCATTAAAGATGGCAGCACGGCTCAGGCCACCCTGGTTGACATAGTCTTTGCTCTTCTTGATCTGCTCGGGGTACTTGATGTGCAAGACACCAGGTTCCTCGCCGACGGTGCCGAAGCACTTGCTGAGGAGGACCAGTTTATGGCGAGGGATATTGTGCTTCTTGATGACACGACCGATCATGCGTTCGGACTCGCCGTTCGAATACACGTTGGCGGTATCCCAGCTGTTGAGCCCGCGGTCGTAGGCGCCCTTGAGGAGTTTGTCCACTTCGTTCTCGTCGTCGATAACCCATGGTTGCCAGTCTTTGTGGCCTGTATTTTTGGGAGAAAAGGACAAGGATCGGTTAGCTTCATGGTTCGTTTCATCATCACCAGGGGAGTTTCCTATGAATCAATGCCCTCCCTCTTCTACATGTGTCTGATGTCCCCTGGAACCCGTCGCAAGATGACGATCGAACTGATCCTGAATGGGCCCGCCCGCCACAGGATAATTAAGCAGAGGCTCTTGAACTCACCGAAAGACATGGCTCCCAAGATGGGGATGGAGACTCTCAGGCCAGAAGCGCCGAGTTGGACATAGGTAACCTTTGTGTTATCCAAGCTCTCTTGGAGCGATCGAGGCATGCCAGAGTCACCCATCTTTCACGTTAGTCGATGGTGTTTCTGTTTCTTCTTTGAGGGTGATGAAGGGGAGAGGTGACTTGTAATGAAGATGGCGGGGGCTATCAGTACGTATGCAATGTCCGAGGAGCGGCGCTTCAAGGGCGGGGTGATGGCGCTTGGTGGGGAGGAGGAGAGTTTGACGCTTCTTTCCAAAGGGTGTTTGAGAGCACAGCGCACGAATATATACGTCGTGCTCGTCAGCGTCGGCGGTAGGAGGCCGGTGGAATTCAGGACAATATCGAGCGGAAAATTGGAGGCGGATCCCTTACAGTTGCCAGCGGGCTCGGGCGTCGTCGTCGCAAATGCCGTGCGAGGACCGTTGATGGTCGAGTCTAGTGTGTAGGCTTGTGCCGTCCGCTGAGCTCGTTCCCCGCAGGGCTCTCGGCTATATCAACGCGCGATGCTGGTTTGGTCGGGGATGTTTGGGCGATTGGAGAAAGAGGCAAGGGAGCACGGAGAGGTGGTCTAGGTGGTCCAGTAAGAGTCTTGGATCAGTTGGCCGGGGTGGACGAGAGTCAGAGGCATGGCCCTCGATTCGGTATTAGCGGACTTAGCTTGGGATAAAATCCATCTGCTCACCTTCTGAGTTGTCGGGTCATCAGCACGTCAAATTCAAAAAGCCATGGGTTGCATGGATGGGTGCAATGGGTGCATGGGTGGACGGAATCTGCCGCCCAGTGGAATAGTTGAGCTCAAGAAGCAGATGTCGTGACGGGAAGAGCAGAAGAAAGTGGTATACTATATTCCGTGCAGCTCTCCTGTGCCCATGCAAACTCCATATCATCAGATAGCGACTCCGTATAATGGTCAAGTAATAGTACAGGTACGTCGGTATAGGCGGAGATGAGGAAACTCCTTCTCTGTCTTTTGCCCAAAACGAAACCAGACAAACACCGTGTCAGCGCTTATACTCGTAGCCTCTTCAATCTTGAAGATATGCAAAACTCATACCATGCCCATGGTCGACGTCATCCCTTCTTCGGTCATGTCTCATACTTCTTCCCGGCCCATCATCTGTGTCCGATCAAGTCCATGGCATCTTCCTCTTCCTCACCATCGTCATCCTCCATTGGCTCGTCACGCTCACTCTCGGACTCGGAGTCGGCCTCTGATTCAGCGTCGGCGGCGTTGCGTTGCCGGGGCGAGTGGGGCCGGCCCCAGAAATCGAGATCATCGTCGTCCTCGTCGTCGTCCAAGGATGCAGCTCCGCATTGAGGTGCTTCGGGTGTGCCTGCTGCTCGTTGCCCAGTTCCAAAATAACTTCCGACGACCGGGGAGACAGAACGGGCCGAGCGAGCTGTGGGTGAATGAGGCAGAAGCCAAGACGACCGGCTCCTGGGAGTATTTGACGCTGTTCCTATTTCGCTAGGTTGAGGCACGGCTTGATCTGACGCTCTTACTATATCCACGGGTTGCGTCGCTCGGTCCGTCGGCGTGTGGCTCTGGCTCGCTGTCAAGGCTGCTTCAGACGTTCCTGCCTGCTGCGCTCGTTCCTGTTGCTCCTGTAATTGTAGAGTCTCTTCGGCCCCCAGAAGCTCCAGCTGAGTCGTATTGTAAGATTCGCAGATCGAGCATTTTAGCCCTAGCCAGTGATATTTGGTCACGCTCCGGCTGTTGCAGTCGTTGCAAAAGATGTAGGCACGATTGTCCCGATACTCTTCTGGCATCGGTTGTTCTTCAATGTGCCGGTCCAAGCGTCGAAATTGGCTCTCCATATTGGCGATGCTCTTGGAACAAATCGGGCATTTGTAGCTGGTGTTACACCACTCTGAAAAACAAGACTCGTGGATGCTATGGCCGCAACGCATGAACGCAACCGGTTTATTCGACGTAAACATATACTCACCACAGATGGGGCAGTCGCATTTGGTGCTCTTTTCAATACACTTGTGGGTGCTTTCGGCCTGGATGGACATGCAAGCTGCACATGTTTTGCAGTGGAAGAAGTCTTTGCCCAAACCCTCGCCGAGCCGACATATACCACAGTCGTCACAATGGTATATGGACTTTTCCGGATCATTGTTCCACAGTATGCAGATGGGGCAGTAATAGCACGCCGTTTGGACCTGGCACGTTTTGCAAAATTGACCGACCGCCTGTGGAGTGTTACAAAGCATGCACAGCATATGCTTGGTCTCTCGACGCGGTAAAGTGTGGTTTTCGGCTTCATCGTGGCACAAGCGGCAGGTGTACCATCTTTCGCACATGTTGCATTGCATCTTGACATTTCGCTTGTAATGGACACAGCCAAGCACTGGCTGAGATATTTCACCAGATGAATCCATGTCGTCCGGATCAAGAGGTGCATAGGTCGGCTGGAGTGCTTCTGGAGTAAGGTTGTAGTTGATCTCCTGGCCAACGCCTGACTTGGTCGAGCTCGGTGATCCCGGTCTGGGAGAAGGGTCTAGCGATCTGGACAGCAAGCTTTTACTAGCGACACCCTTCTGGTACCGCTCCATCATCAATGCATGCACGAGCCTTGATTTCTCGGCAGGCGTACCCGGGCCTGACCACACCGCATTGATCTTTTGTCTGAGAGGGCCCATACCATCGTCTTCAGGCAGAGTCCCCGACCCGTCCCTCCTCCGGCCACCCCCGTTCTCTTGTACATCTTGCGAGCCCGCCACTTCTGCAGCTCTCGACAAATCTGTTAGCGGATCAGATGTCGCATGGGGCCTTGTACTGTCTTCATGTACGCGAGACCGATATGGCAGCTCATTGGCGGGATTCAGGGAGGTCTCGCTGCTCGTGCGAAGGTTTGGGAGAATAGCGGGACGCGATGGTTGTGAAGCGTCGGGCTCAAGATGAGGGAACTCGGTGGTAGGAGGCTCTTGCCGCAGAGGTGGTTCGGATGGTAGTCGTCTCGAATCGTCGT